AATGTAGGTATGTATCATTTAATTTTAGATAACATCAGATTAATTGTAGTAGGTAAGACAAGAAATGATTATCTTTTACTTGATTTTGTTCTACTTCTTGACCCTAACCATTTTACCTTTATCTCCCCCAAAAAACTGCTTATCCAAAGCCAAGGTATCCTGTTCCAGATTACAAAATAAGCAGAAGGCTTCCCATTTTGCTTTACAAAATATAAAAACTCCTACTTTTAAACCTGATACACAGGAATAAATGAGTAACCAGAATGATTCAGAAACTTATATTCAGAAGATACTTAAAGTATCTGTTAAAAGGAAGAACATTTGAAAAATAACTGCAAAAAAGAGGAAAGAAAAATCTTCAAGGTAGCACACAAACAGAAATACAAAGATGATACACATCCATGGCGAAGGGAGTTACCATCAGGGAATCAGATGCTCTAAGTCAGGGAGAGGGCAGATGATTCCAGGATGTCTGTTCCATTGGGAACACATGCAGCCTTCAGAGGAGCAGGGTGTAATGAGCTGCTCAGGTTCCAGAGCTGGGCAAGAGAGTTCGTGAGGGAAGTCTCAGGGGAAGGGTGCTATAGTGCAGGAAAAACTGGAGCTGGGCACAATACCAGCCCCCAAGTGGAGCCACCTTTCAAGGAACCTTGGAGCTACAGACAGAAAAAGACTATGCAGATGAACCTGCAGATAATCCCCACATTTTGATTTCTTCTGAATTTGATGTTGCTTCTTTTGGCCTGATTTTATACTACACACACACACACACATAATAGAAATAAAAAGACAAAACCAATTGCCATCAAGTTGATTCCAACTCATGGTGACGCTGTGTGTGGCAGAGTTGAAATTTGCCCCGTGGCGTTCTCACGGCTGTGACATTTAAAAAGCTGAATGCCAGCTCTTTCTTCTCAGACATCTGAGTGGGTGCAAAGGACCAATCTTTCAGTTAGTAGCCAAGCACTTAACTGTTTGTACCACCCAGGGATGGTATTTTGGGTACATTTTGAGTCCTTTGATCCATCTGAGATACATTTTGTAGTGGGACGAAGGCAACTGAATTAAGAGACACAAGAAGAGGAACAGTGTGGGCCCCACAATGGTCCCAGCTCTGTCACTTACCACTTTGTGAGTTGGGGGATTTTACAGTTTTTCATGAGCCAACCAAGACTGGAAACCTTATCTTCTAGGAGTGATGGATATCAGTACTGGATAAAAACCATCTGGAAAGATGACTGGCAAATATTGTGACTTTAATGAGTGTCTCATGAGGAATTAGCATATAGTCATTCAAACAGAACAAGGGGATACTGCATGGTTTAAAATCAGGGAAGCTGTGTGTCGGGGTTGTATCCTTTCACCATATTATTCAATCTGTATGCTGAGCAAACGATCCAAGAAACAGGGCTATATGAAGAAGAATGCAGCATCAGGATTGGGAAAGGCTCATTAACAAGCTGCAATATGCAGATGACCAACCTGCTTGTGAAGGTAGCGATGACTTGAAGGACTTACTAATGAAGATCAAAGATCAGGACCTTCAGTATGGATTACACGTCAACATAAAGAAAACAAAAATCTTCAGAACTGGACTGATGAGTAACATCATGATGAATGGAGAAAAGATTGAAGTTGCCAAGGATGACATTTTACTTGGATCCACAATCAATACCCATGGAAGCAGCGGTCAGGAAACCAAACAACACGCTGCATTGGGCATATCGGCTGCAAAACGCCTCCTTCATTTAAAGTGCTTAAGAGGAAAGGTGTCAGTTTGAAGACTAAGGTGTGTCTGACCCAGTCCACATACGCGTTTGAGAGCTGGACAATCAGTAAGGAAGAATGCGGAAGAACTGATGCATTTGAAATGTGGTATTGGTGAAAAATATTGAATGAACCATGTACAGCTAAAAGGAGGACTAAACCTGTCTTAGAGGAAATGCAGCCAGAATTCTAAGTTCCTTAAAAGCAAGAATGGCCAGAATATGTCCCTTGTACTTGGGTCATGTTGTCAGAAGGGACCAGTTCCTGGAGGAGGGTCACATGCTTGGTAAAGTGGAGGGTCAGCTCCAAAAGTGGAAGACCCTCAACAGGGTGCACTGAAACTGTGACTGTAACGATGGGCTCAGCCACGGCAACGATTGTGAGGAGGACGCCAGTCTGGGCAGTGTTTCATTCCGACCCCAAAACACCTCTAAAAGCAACAAAAATAATAAGTGGCATTTAGCACTGTGATGATTTTTACCCAGGTGATACCACCCTCTTCCAGGTAAACTTTTTTCCTCCTTAATCCAGGAGATGTCAGGGAATATGCAGTGTTCTTGGACAAAAAACATCAATTCGGCACATAATTCTTCTTAATAAGTAAAACTAAGTAGATATTCTAATACCATATCAATTATTTAGTTTGGATATGGGCTTCTCATCCACTGCTGGATGCAAATCAAAGCTGCTAGAATTTGTGTCAAAGAACAACTAGCTCTTCATCCTCCCAGCTGCACTTCCATCCAAATCCCCTCTATTTCCATTCATTTATCCTCTACTGAAACTCCTCTATAGAGCTTAGGAGATTGCACTCAATGTACCAGTTACCATCCCATCTGTTCTGACTCTGGGTGACTCTGTATGCATCAGAGTATATCTGTGCTCCATAGAACTTGCTAGGCTGATTTTTCAGAACTAGATTGCTCAGTTTTCTTCTGAGATGCTTCTGGGTGTATTCGAACCTCCAACTTTGCAATGAGCAACAGAGTACTTGCACCATTTGTATTACCCACTTAGAATAACCAAAATAAAAATAAAATGGCCTTTCATTGATTGGGCCCTGGTTCTCCCACGCCTAGGTAAAGAATGCCAGCCCGGCGGATTCTAGACATCTAACCTCAAGAAAGCATCACTCCAAAACTCCCTGGAGAGGTTGGGGGGGGGGCGGGGAAACACCTCATTTGCTTGTATGTGCGGTGTGCTCAACTGCATGAAGAAAGAGCAAAGAACACCTTCCACCACCACCACCGCTACGTGAAGATGTCATTCTGGTTTACCGAGGATCACAGAACACTTCCAAAGAACACGTTCTAAGAATCTGAGGCCTGCTCACCATTTCCACAATCTCACTTAGCTCCCCATCCCACTGAAGAACATTATGTTTCCCATAGCCCTCAAACTGCCTGGCATCAAGAAATTTAAATTTGACTGCCCTCATCTGGAACATTCCCCCTTCTTACCCATACTTTTTACTTTAACTGTAGGAATTAGAGGGTATGTCACCATCTTCCTTTTATGGATGAAGCCTATAGACTAGAAATTTATTAGTATGTTCTTATAGTATGTCATTAAGTCACCCCAGGGGTCACAATGAGTCAAAATCTATTCAATGGCAACATAATATAACAAAACATGGCCACTAAATTAATTTTGACTCATGGCAACCCTGTAGGATAGAGTAGAACTGCCCTACAGAGTTTTCAAGGCTATAAATCTTTATTGAAGTAGCCTGCCACATCTTTCTCTCATGGAGTGGCTGGTAGGTTGTGCTGTTGTTAAATGCCGTCGAGTTGTTTCCAACTCATAGTGACCCCATGCACAGCAGAACGAAACACTGCCGGATCCCGTGCTAGCCCCACAATCCCTGCTATACTTGAGCCCATCATCGCAGCCACCGTGTCAGTCCATCTCGTTGAAGGCCTCCCTCTCTTTCGTCGACCCTCCACCCTACCAAGCATGACATCCTTCTCCAGAGAATGGTCCCTTCTGACAACATGACCAAAATAGGTGAGACGAAGTCTGGCCATTCTTGCTTCCAAGGAGCATTCTGGCTGCACTTCCTCCAGGACAGATCTGTTAGTTCTTTTAGCAGTCCATGGTACTTTCATCATTCTCCACCAGCACCACAACTCAAAAGCATCAACTCTTCTTCGGTCTTCCTTATTCATTGTCCAGCTCTCATATGCATATGAGGCGATTGGAAATATCATGGCTTGTGTCAGGCACACCTTAGTCCTCAAGGAGATATCCTTGCTCCTCAGCACTTGAAACAGTTCCTTCGCAGTTGACTTTCCCAGTGCTGCACGTCGTCTAATGTCCTGACTGCTGCTTCCATTGGCATCGATTGTAGAACCAAGCAACATGAATTCTTTGACAACCTCAATCTTCTCTCCATTTATTGTGATGCTGCTCATTGGTCCAGTTGTGAGGATTTTTGTTTTCTTTATGTTGAGATGTAATCCATACTGCAGACTATATACTGTGTTCTTCAACCTTCATCAGTAGGTGCCTTAAGTCATCCTCACTTTCAGCAAGCAAAGTTGTATCATCTGCATATCTCAGGTTGTTAATGATTCTTCCTTCCAATCCTGATACCACGTTTTTCTTCATATAGTCCAGCTTCTCGGATTAATTGCTCAGCATATAGATTGAGTAAGTGTGGAGAAAGAATACAATCCTGACTCACTCTCTTCTTGATTTTAAACCATGTAGTGTCCCCTTGTTCTGTTCGAACGACAGCCTCCTGGCTGGTAGGTTAGCAATGACCTTTTAGGTTAGCAGCCAAGAGCTTAACCACTCACCACCAAGCTTCCTTAAAATTCTTACTATACCCACAACTATCACAGAGAATTCCAAAAAGCAGGTGGGAGAAGGTTGGACAATCTACTTCCCTAGTGATACCGCCTCCGAAACCCAAGGAGGGGTTGCTATGAGTAGGGTCCGACTCGAAGGCACATAACAACAACAGCAACAACAAGAGATTTGTTGAGATTTAATTTCTCCTACATTCTGGAAGAAGGTAAACACTTTGAGGTAAAGATTATTTCATTTTACAAAATGAGAGACTAAAAGAAGTAAGGTGAACCAAGGATTGGTCATTTTATTTTTCTCTACTTTGCTGAGCCGGCCGTTTGGCTTTGGGGTTCTTTCACATTCCCAGGCCATTCCCGACTGTGAAGTTGCACTATCTTCTCTAGATGGAAAAAAAAAAAGACTTAGACTTCACTAGGGTGTCACCAGTAGCTGCATGTGGCCCCGGATTGTGCACTGGCTGTGGCACTACTGCCAGCCCCGGCTGTATCTGTGGTTTCGGCTCTCTCTTCCTCATCTTTCAAAGCTTCTTCATACCGGGATGCGAAGGCAGTGGGATCTGTACCATTGATCTTGGCCAAAAACTCCAGGATTTTCATCTTGGAGGTTTCAGCGTGGGCTCTGGGACCCCACAGGAACTCGTAGCATGGAGGATAACTGTTGGGCACCTGCCGGTACTCCAGGTACTTCAGCTTCACCAGATCTTTGGTGAGGAGCTTCTTGGGCTCTCCATAGATGAAGTGCTTCTTTCCAGCAAATACACGCATGGAATTCAGGAATTTCCAGATCTCCTCCTCGGTGGCCCGGTTGCCCTTCAGCAAGATCACACCCAGGACAGTCATCAGTAGACCGGTCTTCGGCAACCCCTTGCCACTATGCACCCTTCCGTCATTGGGAAGATTCATTTTGCTGACGAGGGTGTAGGACTGAGTGATGGGGTCGACTTCCTTCACATCAACAGCAAACACAACCTCGAGGCGCTCAGATGCTCTCTTGAGGATTTCAGGGAACTGATCCTCATACTTTTGTTTGACAATCTTCAGCATGTTTGCCTTTGTAATGGGCTCTTCCATTTTAAACTTGTGCAGCAGGAACTGCTCCAACAAACCTGCCTTCTTGGTTAGAGGGTCTCGGCGTGAGCTCTTCTTAGCGGAGGTTGGAGCCTGGGAGATGCTTGGATCTTCTGCGTTTTGGCTGTCGGCAACTTTATTAGATCTTGTAACAGAAATGCCTGAAGAGGCAGCGGTGGTGGATGGGGCTCTCTCAGGCTCCTGGGGAGCTCTCCTGGACCCAGCAGCAGGGGAGCTCTGGGTATTCGGGAGAGCATCCCCAACAGGAAGACAAGAGGAGATGGGTTCTTCTTCCTCTGTGATGGTGGCCTGCGCACCTTTGAGAATCTGCTTCTCACTTTGGGCCTTCTTGAGATTTTTAAAGGTTTGGAGGTGAGCATTTTGATCCCGAGGCATGATGACTCTGATCAGGGATAGCTGGCAGGATCACGGGCAGGGGGTAAAGTGATGTGAGCTCCCAGGAAGAGGGAAGTGGAGCGGGTGTGGATCCCTTTAGCAGGCAGATTGCTCCTTGGCTTTAGTGAGGGACATCCCTGCAGTTTCCCACGAGGGCACTTCTCTAGTCTGGGCTAAGCACAAGGTCAGTTTCCTCCTGTTCAGCCTGTTCTTTGAGAACTCTGTGGAAGAATTTAGAAGGAGAGTTAGGGTACAGCCTGCCAGTCCTTCCTGGGATTTACTAGGGTGACAGCAGGGGCTGCCAGGGGAACCCTCCCTGTTCTGGGTGGGAGGGCTCTTGGTTCACCTTCAGGGCCATATCCCATTAACTGTTGACAGAGCCTGGGCCCCTGCCTCCCACTGTTCTCAAGTTGACACCTGAAAGCTTCTGGAACTCACAAGGAGAAAGTGAAGGGGTGCCTTAGCGCACCTCCCACAGCCAGAGATAACTAGTGTTGACTGCTCTGTGGGTCCTTCTGTATCCTGGGCTCCTGGAGTTCTCAGCCCTCAGTCAGGGTCTTCACTGGGCTCAACAGAGGGGCTGGGATACCTTCTGCTGAATGTTGGCTGGACCCTGAGACCAGAGACCTTCCCTCCTTCTGTCTGATGGTGATAAGTGAGGGGAACCTCAGTCTGACAGCCCTGCCCTGGATCTCTGAGGCTGAAAGCAAGGGTAGGGCTCAACTCCTCATTATCCCTTCTCTTCTGTGCGGGTGGTCCCCTCAGTCCTCAGGGCCCTCACCTTGGCTCCTGGACCTAGAACTCTCCTCCACTGCTGGCCGTAGCTCATCCCCCTCAGACCATGTCCCTTACCTCTCTGTGACACCATAGGAGGAAATGAATGACACGCATAAATTGTCAACAATGCCCAGGTAGCCCAGGGATGGCTGGCCTGACTGGGGCCTGTGTGGTCCCCTCAGTTCTGGGATTGGAGTTTCCTTCGTTTCACACTCAGGGCCCGCACATTGACTCTTCGCCAGCCTTGGGACTCCTCCCTCTGTGGACCTGAAGTCCCTCCCCTCAGACCAAGTTCTTTCCCCTCCATGAGTCACTCCTTGCCCAAGTCAGCATGACAGCCCGGTCTGGGGCCTCTTGCGGCTAATGACAGGGCTGGGCTCTGTGTCATGCTACGGTTCTGGGGTCTGCGCTCCCCACAGAATTCACTCAGGATTCCACCCTTGATTCCTAGCAGGGCCAGGGATGCTTCTGTCTGCTGACCTGAAGCCCCTCCCCCACCTCACCTCTATGGTGCCATCCAAAAAGAAATAAGGACACACATCCACCTGACCCCAAGGGCACACATTCATGTGACTTCCACGCCTGGGTTTTCTCGGACTGCAAACAGGGCCTGGGAAGATCTCTCTGCATTCTATTTACTTGGTGTGGGGTACACCCAGATGCTTCTGGGTCCTCCTAATGACTCTTGTTAGGACCTGTTTCTCCTCCCTCTGCTGAAGGAACGCCACCCACTCTTACCAAGTCCCTCATCTCCCTCAGACGCTTCAGTGCTTCAGCCAGAAATGAGGGAAGCTTCAGGGAGATGTATCTGCTGTGACTTTTAAAGACTGAGAACAGGGTCCGGGCTCTGGGAGGAGGGAAGTCGAGGAGGTCTCCTTTTTGACTCCTGACGTTACCTAGGATAACTTACCTGGCTTACCTGAGGCCGCCCCTCTTAGACAAGAGCCTCACTTCCTGACACGCTCCAGGAAGGATTCAGTGAGTTCCACTTAGCTCCTCAACAGTGATCAGGTCTCACACGGGTGGGGCTCTCTGGCGCCCCCTCTGTTCTAGCTTTGTCCTTATACAGGATTCAGGATTCTTAACTCGACTCCCCTTATAGCCTCCTTGTGCTGATGTGGACCCCGTACTTCCCTCCCCCAAACCACATCTTCCTCTCCCTGAAACCCTCCTTGCAGAGGTCACCCTGAAAGTTCTTCTCGGGGCCTGCTAGGGGTGATGGCAGGGCCAGGCTCTGTGCCTTGTGGAGTTTATGGTTATCTGAGTCCTCATTCAGGATTCTGTCCTTGGTTCCTGGTGTGACCAGGGTTTCCTTCCCCTACTGGACAGGGTCCCGGAGCCTCAGACCAAGGTTCTCAAATCCCTGAAGCTCCAGAGGGGGAAATCGGGGAATGAACACTACCTGAGACTCAAAGCGGCCTGACCCTCCCAAGGGCCACACTGAGATCTAGGTGCGGTGGGGCCCTCTTATTTAGGGACTGGCTAAGCCCTTAGTCCTCAGGGCTCTCATTTTGGCTCCTGCTCAGTCGGGTTTCCTGTGACGTCCCTCCTTACACAAAGTCCCTCACCTGCTGAAAGGCGCTAAGAAGAAGTCAGTGCTGCTTGGCTCTCACCAAAGGTAGAGTCTCTCGGGGATGCCCACCGAGGTGGGGCTCTCTGGGGCCCTCTCTGTGCTGGAGTGGGTGGTAGCCTTAATTTTCATTAAAAAAAAAAAAAAAAGTTGCCATTCAGCCATTCCTGCACATGGTGACCCCGTATGTTTCAGAGAAGAACTGCATTCAATAGGGCTTTCAGCGCCTCTGATCTTTGAAGTAGATTGTCAGGCCTTTCTTCCAGGATGTTTCTGGGTGGATTCGAACCAGGAGCATTTAAACTACCAATTTGTCAGTGGGTTGTCAATGCTTAGCCAATTTTACCACCCAGGGACTCTTCACTATTTATAAAGATTCTTAGTTTGACTTCTCTTAGGGCCTAGAACTCTTAGCCTCTGCTCACTGTGGCCACCATCTTTAGATCAAGAACCTTACATTTCTGAGACTCCTTACAGGAGTTGGTCATACAGTCCTGCCTTAGGCCTCTCAACACTGGAGACAGATGAGGCATTTGTGCCACCACACTGTTTTGGGGTCAGTGGTCACGTCATTCTTCACTTAGTGTTCTGTCCTTGATCCTGAAAGAGCCTGTGACTTCACTCTCTATTGTCCTGGGCCTCACAGTGTTGAGGTCTCATAAGCCTACAGCCCAAGAGGGGAACATCGGGGACAGCTCCACTTGGTTATCCCCTACCTGGGGCCTTACTCAGTACTGGGGTGAAGAGTGCCCCAGTCTTTTTCCAATGGTCTTACCTTGACACCTGGCAGACTCTGGGACTCCTGATTTCTGATCTGAGGTCCATCCACTTAGACCAACGTTCCCTAAGGGACATGTTTTTTCCAGACAGCTCTGCCTGGCGCTTTCTAGGTCTGAGAGCAGGCAGGGCAGATAGCTGTATGGCCCCTTATAATCTGGTCTGGTTTGATTGTCAGTCTTCATTCACTTGGGCCTCATCTTGGCTCCTATGTCTTTAATGAAAGGCTTCCTATGAACTATCACATTCCCACAACTCTTGAGCAGTCTCCCTACTGCACACCCTGTCCCAGAGTGAGGTGAGATGGGACATTGGAGCACGAGGCAAGAGGATCAAGACAGATGGAGGGCTGTCACAGAGAAAACACACGCTGATCTATTCCTTCTTTTCACCCCTTAGACTGAAATTTTTATGCAACATCTGTTTTAAAACATTTTGTTTCTACAGGAAAAAAACTGGACCAGATGATTTCCTGAGTCTGATCTTTTGAGGTTAATTGACACTGCATATGAAGATGATCGTGTTGACACTGGTTTCTTCTCTCCTCCTTATTCACCCATCTCATTCATTTATTTTGATATTTATAATGAATGTTCTCCTTACATACTCTAACCCAGTACTTTGAGCAAAAAGTCCTTCTTATATCATCTGAGACATTCTGGAGTAGGAAGAAGGGAAGGAAATTGAGAAATAAAGTCTGCCTCAGGCTGGGAGGAGTGGAACAGTATGGGCGCTAGAGGAATTCAGACCAGAGATGGAGTCCAGCTCTTTTGCTTATCACCTTGCTAATTGGAGAAAATTTCAGGTTCTTCATCTGTCTGGTGAGTTTCTTAAGCCCTATCTCATAGTATCGTTAGAATATATGTACTGGTGGTGCAGTGGTTAAGGCATTTGACTCTTAACCAGAAGCTCGGTGGTTCAAACCCACCAGGTGCTCCCCAGGAGAAATATGAGACAATCTACTTCCTTAAAGATTTACAGCCCTGGAAACCCAGGGAGGATCGCTATCAGTCGAGATAGACTTGATGGAAGTTTGAGTTTTTTTGGGAATGTAAAACATCTGGCAAGATGACTGAAACGTAATAGGTCTTTAATGAATGGCACTTATTTGTACAATAATTTTGACCTGGACTGTACCGCCCTCTTCTCTGGATTTTTTTTTTTTTTAGTCCAGAAGCTAGCAGAGAATAAACAGTTGTCTTGGACAAAGAACACCAAAGCATCCCTAACTGCTCCTTAGCAAATAAGCCTATATAAAATTTCCCCATTACAGCACTTGCTATTTAATTTGGGTGTGGGGTTGACTTCTATCTCAGAGACTTCTATCTGAGATGGCACACTGTAGCCCAAGGCAAGAGGCCCAGGACAGGTGGTTGTCAGAGAGGAAAACACACACACACACACACACACACACACACATTGATCGCTTCCTTCTCTTCACCATCTAGACTCCAACTCCTGGATTTTTGTCAATGTGTAACCACTATCCCTCTTAAGTACGCTTATATCCAAGCTATTTCTGCTTACATTCATTTTACCCTCACCAAAAATCTAGCCATCCTCTAAGTTTTCCAACATCACTTAACATAAGTTCATTAAAATATACTTTAATGGAGAGGCCTGGAGCTCTGGTGATATAGTGCCTAAGGCATTTGACTGCTAACCACAAGGCTGGTGGTTCAAACCCACCAGCCACTCCTCAAAAGGAAGGTGGAGCAATCTACTTATGTAGTGGTACTGCCTCAGAAATGCAGGGAGGGGTCGCTAAGAGTCGGATCTGACTCGATAGCAGTGAGTTTGGTTTTGGTTTGTAGATCTCCCAGCCCACGACCAAAAGTGGCAGCCCAGTGGATTTTTTGAATCTCACTTCTGGGAA